CCACCAGAAAGCTTTATTTAATAAAATTTATTTAGCGTTACGTAAACAGCTTTTCTTATTTTAAATAAGTCACCTAATTTACATAAACTTTCAGCATTAAATAAAACAGTCTATAGATAAATTTAATATCTTTTCAATTGAATATCGTATATCAGAAATCATCGCTTACCCTGTTTATTCTCGTATTCTAGATTATTGAGGTCGAACGATCACGAAAATCGTGCAGTTGCAAACCTTTACATATTGAATAATAAGATTTGAATCGATAAACTGTTAAATCTCATAAAAGGCAATTCTTATAATTCGTTGCTATTAAATATCAATCAATGGATCGCTTTATATTTCAATTGAAAGTTTTTATTTATTTTTTATATTTTTTTTGTCGATAATACATATATTTTGTTTATTATATATATTGTTATATAATAGTTTAATTTAAATTTCTTGTGATGAAAGCTATTTAATATAAAGAAAAATTCTTATTTATTCTTTAAAATATAATATTTTACAAATATATTTTAATCTATTTTATTTTTTAAAATAAACTACTGGGAATTATATATATTTTTAAAATAAATAATTAGAATTTAACACAAATATATAAGTTTAATTATAATAAATGCCTAGAGAGTAAGAAAACCTATAATTTAAAAATAGCTCAATAACTTTTGTATTTTTATTTTTTTTTCTACTCTATGTCAAAGTCCAATTATAACTTTTGTTTTTTTATTATTATTATTGTTATTTTCACGAAAGAATGTTGATATTTCAACTTTAAATCGAACTTCTTTTTCATTGCGAAACTTGATATTGATAGAATCACGTGGCATTGAAGTCAGAAAACATAATTATACATGCAGATTGCTTATCAAAGTAATAATTATCGGTTACATATTTAAATTCACAATTACAGATTACATGTTTAAATTACACTGATAAGATCGCAAGATGGAAAATCAATAAAATTTCTGTGATAATAGGGAATAACATCTGAAGAATTGTTTATTTTTTTTTATTAAGATTTAAAGCAAAACAATTCGTGATTACATTTTTGCGCTATTTTAGTGTTACATCTAACGTATAAAATGCTATATAATAAAATAATTTTATAGAAAATATTAATTTACAGTCTTTATATTTCTAGATAATTGGGAACAACAAGCTGTGTAACCTATATTTTTATAGGTGTTGCACTGCCTATAAAATTTTTCGAAAAACATTTAGAATACTTCTCCTATGGTTTCAAACAATCAAGTTTTAGTCATAAAGTCAAATAATACTAAATCGAATGAAGCTATTAAAGACATCAGCTAATCTTGTTTCGAAAAAAAAAAAAAAATTGAAATAAAAGGTGATAGGTTCTCTTTGAAAAGCATAAATTGTGAATTAATATTTAATTTTTTAATATAAATATTTTAATAAAAAAACTATTATTCACCTTTAATATACGCTCGATAATATAAGGTAAATAACCGGAAAAGAGAAGGTTAGCCAGGATGCCGAGTACCGTCATAATTACGCAAGGATTTTTAGCCACACCACGAAAAACATTGAATATTATCGGATGATAGGTACACCTGCTGCGAGTAGAGGGGATGATATGTTGAGTACGAGCTTTCTCCGCTTCCATTAACAAAAATCCGATGGGATTAAAGAGTACGTGAGACAGAGGTGCGATAATGTACATATATCCGGGATAAGATGACTGGGCGTTTCCGAAAATTGATTGTACTGAAATAATAAAATTGACAGTTGATTATCACAAAATGTGAAGAACTGGAGAACAAATCACGCGAGTTATTTAAAAAAATGATATCGTTGGAATTTAATTATGAAAGTAAGTTGCTCACGTATGTGTCATGTTTTATTTATTTTTGTTGTCAAAAAATTTTCAGAATTTCAAATCATTATTAAATTACGATATATGACATAAAGTTACTCTACACTCACCGACTGGATAAGCGAGGCTGAAATCACTTCCTTGAGTACATAAAATTCCATATATCCCAATCAATGCTAAATTGAAAGGTCGATAAAAACAAGCCGTTGTTGTGGCAACAAACAAGAATATTAGCGATTTTCCTAGGATGATTCCTATAATAAATAGCCAATGGACATTATGCAAATCTATTGTTGCTAGATTCAAGAAGATGAGAGAAGGTAGAGCGAAGTGAGAAGCAAATATCGTCAAGCCTTTTATTTCATTTGAAGAAATATATTGAAATCGGCCACAGATGTAACTAGGAATAAATATTATAATACAAATATTTAATTTGCTATGTATCCAAATAATTGATAATTATCTAAAGTTAAATTATATCGTACTCTAAATTGAAAAATTACCCGCAAAGTACAATAACAAAACATTCTGCAAGAGTGGGTAATAATTGATTCACGGCTAAATCTTCAGCGGTATCAGTAATATTCCATACTTCAGTTTTAGAAAAGTCTACCTGTATTAATGGAATATTATTTAATTTATAATGAAAAAAATTATATGAATGAAAATTCAGAATATCATTACGTAGATAATGATAAATATTAAATAAATTAAGAAGCAATTTTATTTAATAACTTACAACTTTGGGTTGAATTGAAGAATTCAATTCAGAGATAAATGTTGATAAAATTGGAACTGCTGGATAAGCTTTCATTCTGGTTATAATTACTAAAATAGAAACGTTAAAATATTTTATTAAAAAGAATAAAAATTTATTTTACAGAATATATATTAAATGAAGTCTACAAAACTTTGTAAAATAGATAAAAATAGTAATTTTATAAATATAATTTATAAATGCAGGTGACTTTTTATAAATATACAGTGTAGCAACTATAATAGAGATATATAGTAACAATTTTATAGATAAATATTTTGTTAATGATAACAAATTTAATATGTATGTCAATTACCAAATATTATTACCAAATGTATGCAATTTTTAAAGAATTTCAATATTATTCTATTAATATACTCGCAATTTGTTTTGTATAATGTTTACTGTATTTCTTACAATCCATAATTTAAACTAAAATATCAACATCAGTATATTTAAAATTAAATTTAAATTATCAATAAAAATAGAGTTTAAATAAAAAATATCAAATTTCGTGACGAATTGTATTACAATAAATACATATTTTTTGATATAATTTAAAGAGATGGACATGAATTTTTAGATTGAATTTTTATAGTATGAAGTATCTCTAATGTTATAAAATAAATTTCTTATATTTTAAATTAACTGTGTTAAATTAGTAGTTTCCAAACTGCGCGCCAATTCCAAACTAGTCAATGGTGCCACTGCCAGGTTAGGCGTTGTTTTAATTATTAGTGATGCGCTGACAGCGTTTATGCTGTGCATTTTTTTTTTTGTGTGTCTACGTACATTTTGCATCTTGAAATCCGTCTCTCTGGAACTTTTTTTTAAAATAAATACAAGTTTTTCTATTTATTATTTTTTTTCAGAACTAAATTATATTCTTTTCCTGTTCCCTGACAGTTTATTACAGACATTTTTATTTGTTTTATGGTTAATTTGACCAGTTAAAATTCGTACTGGTGGGACTATAATGTTTATTCTTATGTGACATATACAATTTATATAACGTAAATATAGTATTTATTCTTTGCCTAAGGACTAGTATTTCCTTTATTTGTGTTTATATTATTTAATTATAATACTGTACCAACACAACAATTACTCTTAGATATAAAAAGTACTACCTAGTCTGGGTCTAGTGCCTTCGAAAATGGACACATATATCTTTGTATAGGAGAGCCGCCGGAAAATGAAAGCACATTAAAGGAACCGAGAGATTAAAATTTTGTATTAAAGATTAAAAAACAGCAAAAATTACCACGCTTATATAAAGTTTCTAATTATATGTTAACTTTAAGCTTGTAGCTATAACCTTTCGCCTAGGTTTAATTAGAGTTAATTCACGATAAAATTTGAAATTACGAAAAAGTAATCTGTAGAGAAAATCTTTTTATACTGATATATATCTCAGTAAGTAATTTTCTTAAATATCGTGATAAAAATAACTTTTTTATATAAGTTTACATAATTTCATAAATTAAGCTGTATATAATATATATATATATATATATTGTTTCGTTTAAGAATTTCAGTCTTGTCTTAACCGTTATCGAGAGAATATTGAATATAATTTTTTTTAAATTTTTATATTTTTTTTGCGTTTCAGATTATTTATTACAATTAAATAAATTAGTATTATTCATTCTTTTAAGTAAATATATTATATTAAATACATTAATAAAATTTCTATCTAATAGAAATAAATATCAAATTGATTAAATGTTAACAATTTTAATGATATATTGGCTATTGAAGTTAAAAAGTTTAAGGAGAAATATCATGTAGCTAAATATTATAATTTACAAAATTTCATGATATATATGAAATAAATTTACATGTTAAGACTGAGAGTATATATGTTTACAATATATATATATATTAATTTCAATAATTTAAAAAATTATATTCGATATTCTCTCAATAACACTTAAGAGGATAAGACTACAATTATTAAACGGAATATTATTTGATTTCAAATATGTGCTTTTTAATCATATACAGTTCCTCCACATTTATAATGACATTACTCTCTGATATCCTTCAAGAATTAAAAAATATATACTTTTTTAAAGGTTATTAACTGAAATGAATGATTAAAACATGCATTTATTGTTTTCTATTTAAACGAAATCCTATAAAAATTCGAAATTATACCTAAGAGTGTACTCGATTAATAGGAAAGAGTCACACTCCACACTACAGTTAGTAGTATCAGAAATAAATAATAAACACGTATATAAACAGCATTTTCGTTTGTATATTATGATTTTCAAAGAAAGTTATTGAATACAATAAAATTTGATTATATTAACGTTACATTTTTTATTAATTTACAAAACTTTATATGCAAAAAATGGCTAGGATTTTCGACCCCAAACGCGCTTCGTGTGTTAGTGTAACGATTCGCCACTGATTATAAATATACATAGGCCAAAACATTCTCATTTTTCTGCTAAAATTCACTTTTTAAATATAAAAATATCAAGTTAGTTTATACAGTAAACAAAAAGAAATTTTTAAAAAGATAAGATTTAATGGATAATTAACTCATTTAGCAAACTCTAATATTATTATAGGTTAATATAGATGTATTTTTCAAATAATGAAAGCAATGTAATAATTGATAATAATTTTACAAATAATTTTGTATTAAAAGAATAATTTATGAAGGAAACGGATAACAACAGTGTTGAGTTGTACGAGATAACTATTAAATGACGATCTATTTTATTTTATTTTGAATCAAAGATTAAAAATAAAGAGAATGTGTCGACATTCAGTTCATTTTGAAATATAATTAATTTGTAACATTATTTTGTGATATAAATCTTATATAAAAATTAATTAATTATATTAAAATAGTTCAAGTAACTAGTTTTCGATGATAATGATAAATTTAATATCAGATCGTGCATGTTACTTTTAAATAGAAGCGATGTAAATTGAAATAAATATCTGGGTCATACAAAAATTCTTAATGAAAATAGAATAATTTCATTTGCCATTTCAATTTTTAATTAGATGATTAATTAGCTACTTCAAGATCTCATTAAAGCCTATATTTTTATTTTAATATTCATCGAACAAGAATAATGTAATAGATTTTATTATTTTATTAATAATATCACTTGTTGATTTAGTCTACTGTATTTGAATAAATTAGGAAAAGGTCCCAATTCAACGCGTATAAAACAAATCGTAATGCATGAAAATCAATTATGACTGAATTATTAATAATTATAATTTTTAACAATAATTATCGATAAATCTATACAGATTATACTTTAAAAATTTAATTTTAATTCTGTAATATTTTGTATATAATATCATAACAAAGTTTGTTTTTCTTAAGGCATTTATTAATATACATTTAAAAAACATTTCGCAATCATTAAAAAATATAAATGATAAAATTTTTGTAGGATAAATAATTCAAATAATTTTATAAATTGCTATTTAATTTAATTATNTGGAGATAAACGAAGAAATATTGAATTTCGCTCTTAAATATTACGTAATTTTGAAAAAAAAATTAAATTTTCCTATACAATGATGCAACATAATATAAAAAATGGTCATTTAACTTTCGTTTTAAAATTATTTAATTAATTAAATAAAAAGAAACAATTATTTATTTTTTAGGTTAGTTGAATATATTATGAAATGATATAATGCATAATATTAATGAAAGATATTAAAATAATGATTTAATTTATAGTTTAATTTCTATAGACAGTGAAAAGGAATGATCGGTATTATACAGATTATATTATAAACATATATATATTAAAAGATATATAAAAATTAATTGAAATATATATTTGAATAGGCTCAAAAATCATTGAAATTTAACTAATTATATAACGTTTTGATCATTAAAAAACAAAATTTATAGACGAAATGTTTAGCCTTACCTGAACCAGATGAAAAGATATATGTGATATTATCAAACAGGCATCAACTGACTTCATGTGAGATATAATTTAAAGTTGACGAGTGAAATTATTTATCATCATTTGCCGCATTTTTCTTAAAGCTGATCGTACCCATAATGCATCTTATGGATGTTCACCTTGACTCTAATTTCATCATTACTACTGTTATAGCAGTATAGGCTGTTTTCTAAACGTCCATTTATACAATTATCAACACGACTTGTAAAACGCAATCAAATATTACGGGAAATCAGGTCAAGTAAGTATCGAGTCTTCTATGACAACAGATGTTTATTAAGTAAAGCAGAATAAGGCTGGATCTATGCTTTTTTCTCGTTCAACATATTAACTTGATAAATGTATTAGTGTATGCGATCTGGTTACTATAATATTTATTACACGAAATAAAAAAACTTTGCTTATAAAAGAGATCACTATTACCGTGTTTTCTTTCGAATAATCAAGAGAAATGTAAAAACAACTTCGTTAAACCAGTATTCATGTAATAAAATTAGTTAAAATTATTTTTTAAAGATATGATCTGAACGTATGTATCTATAATTATTGGTGAAAGTCATAATTATTATGCAGTCAATTTGCATTTAACTAGTTTCCCTCGTTTCGTAGAAAGGTGTGATAGATTATTTCTTCAAAATGGGCGGAAATTATGACAAATTATGATCGTGATTTAGGTCGAACCTTGACCTAAAGACTAATTTTTTAACATCAATTTTGATGATTTTGTAAATTGTTATCCGAATAAAAGAATGCTTTGAAATAAAATAATAAGTATAAAAACATATTTGTCATCTTTATTAATAAGTAATAGAAAAAAAACAACATGTATTTCAAGCGACTAACTGTAAACAACATGATCCCAATTAATACTTTTGTCTGGTTCAAGGTTCGTTCGGATATTGAATTTATAACTTACGAAACATTTCTCTTTTCTTTCATACTAATAATAATTGATGATATTCTCAATTTATTAAAATATATATAAATATAATGACACTCTTCATTTAAAAAGTAGCAAAACTAACATACAATTTGCTTAACAAAACTTCGTATAAGTTCATGTTATATCATATTAATTTAATAGAATATGAGCTGCATTCAAATAAATTATTAATAAAATGAGCAAATAATCGCTACATATCGAGTAACTTTTCGATATCAGATTTCGAATATGTCTTGACAAACGAGAATAAAATAATTATAAAACCTCCATACAAAAATATTTATATAAATTTTTAATATCGACGAAAACTATAAAGTTATTTACAACTTGTAACTTGTTTCAATTGTCTTTATTATTTATCTAGTTCAGATTAATTTGCATTTTATTATTAAAGTTTATAATATACATATACATTTAATTAAATTTAATATAAATATACCATACAAGCTATATAATATACAACATATAATGGGATATTATAAATCATTTGTAGTTTATCATCTTTTCAATTTGAGAACAGGGAAAAGTAATAAATTTCTTACGTGCGTCGCTTTATATAAGGAGAGGATTAATTTAATTTATATTTTATGCTAATATTTATTTTTATTTTTCTTACATTGAGAAAGAAAGTATTAAAATTAATTATTTTTCTATATAATTTATTAAAGTAGGAGGAAATTTTTTACATTGCATAACATTAGGTAGGATCATAATTGCATAAATTTTAATTGATACAATTATTTAATCGTATTAATTGCTCTGGCATAAAAAATAATTGTACAGCATGATAAATATATAGAGAAAAAAACGGGATAAAGTAGTATCTATTATTTTCTATAAAAGTTATAATTTCAGCTTTTATAATTTAATAACTGCAATTTCAGTACATATAATTAGATTAATTGAACAATAATATTCATTACACAGTCTGGAAATTAAAAATTAGGACAATTATCAAGAATTTCACATTTATAATCATTTTAAAATCATTAATATTTTTTTTATTTTTCTACTATATTATTAAATTTTTTTTACACTAGATAAATAATTTCGAAAGCTTATTTTTAACAATTTTATTATTTTTTTATATATATTTATATAGGTTATTATATATTCTAAGAATTAATTTTACTTTCTTTGTTTTTTTTTGAATGAAGGTGTAAAGAAAGTGTTTTAATCCTACAACACGCTATGGCAATGACATAAAATAATCAATAACTATACTTTGATATAGACATGTGCAAATTTGCTGACCTTTGTTAGTGTTCGCGTTTTTTTTACGTTCACGCTTTTACTGATTACAACATAAATAAGTTCAATAAACGGGTTTGAAATTTTGAACCCATTTACCCAAACTAAATCATGTGAAAGTCAGTGTAATAAAGACTTTTTTGGATATTTTACTCATACTGACCTCTTCTTTATTAAATGCCGCCGCTGCGATAAAGTTGTCGTTGGAAGTGAAGTAAAATCATAAATTATCATAAATAAGGAATTATCTTGAACTTAAATATATGATAATTTATGTAATTTTTTTGTGCAATTATAACTCATCCATTATCCAACCCCGATATTTTACATTTTTATCCGCAGAGGTGGTATATATTATTTATTTGTGCAAATAATGTATGCAAGCAAAAATATAGGCCATTAAACTTTAGGTTACGACCCCCCTCTTACCAATTCAGGTTTTATATCCTAAATTTAAAATGGAATATCAGTTTTATATCATTAACATTATTTTAAAATATTAAAATATATAATTTACTTTGCAATATATGTTTATAAAACGATAAATTTTTTTGTTTTTATATCATATTATTTGAGATAAAATTTAAAATTAAATGAGAAAAAAAAACTATATAAAATTGCAATAAAGCTTACTGTTTAAAAAGAAACGTAGAATCTATTATTTTAATAATTATCTATATTTTAACTTTATGATATTATCTTTAGCATATTAATTTTTTATTAAAATTCAATATTTTATTTAAAATTTTAAAGGCATGCAATATTCTTTTACTAAAATATTTTACAATTGATTATATTATGATAAATTAATAATTTATTTCTTAGAATTATAAGAAATAAATTAAAGAAGTAACTTATTAGTTTATTATAATATGATCACTTGAAAAATTAATTCTTGTATCATCAAATAACTAATGAAATTATTAATTTTAAAGCGATAAAAATTCTTAAAGTTGGATTTTAATAAAAACAAAAAATATATTTCAATTAAAACATAATTTTCTGTAATATTTTGACCGCATTATATCGATTTTATTTATTTATATCTATTCACACGAACGACAGATTGTCTTTTTAAAATGGCGAATGAACTTGAAAGTAGATTTAAAAACGTTCTAAAATATTTACGAAATAAATCTATGAGAGCGACCATCAAAATACAGTAAGTAAAGAAGATTTCGCTGTGTTATACTTACTTTTACATAATTTAATTTCAGTAAATGGGTTTAAAATTTTAAACCTGTTTTACTGAACTTATTTATGTCGTAACCGATGAAAGTAAAATTATAAAAAAAAAGGAGCATAAACGCAAAGGTCAGCTCTTTGTAGTTGCTTAAATCAATGATATCGTATCGATTATTAACATCAGCATTATAGAGAAACAGATAGCCCTTCGGATATTATATAGGCATATATAGATAGAAGATATTTTCGGTAAAGTAATCTATATATTTTGTTGGAAGAAAACATTAATCAAAATAAATTTGACTTTTTTAAAATAAGATTGTGAATAAGAACGTAAAAATAATTTTGTAATTTACTTTTTTATTAAAATTTTATTATTGTAATAAATTTAGTCGTTCGTTATTATAATAACTTTTATTAATTGTATAATTATTCTTATATAATTTCAGTTTTCCGTTTTCAAAATAATAAACGAAAATAGTTCATATAAAATGGAAATGTACACTTCTAAATGTCAAATTGGTAATGTTATATTAATGAATAATATAAAATAGCGTTTTAGTACTAAATGATAATAAAAATAAATAAATGTAATAGTTGAAAACTTAGTAATTTTCATCTGCTTTATGTAAAGTATTATTGTAAATTGAAGCAAATGTTAAAGAACGTTCATATTATTATTGACTAATAATAATTTCCTTTGGTTTTACTGAATTTTAACAACTGCTTCTTCATTTCACACTAGACAAATAGCAAAATTCGATGTATATTTCCATGTTACCTTATAGAAGAATATGTATCATAATGAATAAACTGTAAATATATATTAATACTAAAATTTATATTGACTGATTTGATTTCAATTTATATATTTTAGAAAAAGGGCCTTTTGGCTACTCTACCAATAAGTTGATTACATGAAATTCTTTATTTATTTATCCATTAAATATTAATTTTTATTTATGGATCTAGAATTATAAATTTATGTTTTTTCTGTGATATTATATATTATTAATATATTAATAAATGTAAAATATAGCAAACTATAATAATCTATCAGAAATGTGTAACTGTTCTAAAATTTTACTTAATATTTGATTTTATGTACAGTACATATAAATTTCAAATACCAAATAAAAATTAAATCTGTTTGCAAGTATTATTTATTTATTGTGGAAATGTTAATTATGTATAATAAATAGATGACCAAATGAGTCTGCAGGGTATAGTATAAAATAAGGTAGTTAAGTAGATCTACAACCGTACATTTAGTTACTTATTAATAACGCTTTTTGAAAAATGTTTTATAAATTATAGATCAAAGTCTAATTTTATTAATTTTCTAAATCTGTAAAAAACATTATTTAAGTATTATTAACTATTATTAAAGACGAGTCTATGTTTAAAGAGTCATTATGAACTAAAATCATCTCTCGATTATAAAAGATTACAACATGCCTTTCGATAAAGTAATATTTAAATTTTAAACTATTTGAGAAATCCACTTCTACAAATTAGTTATAAAAATTTACAAGTATTAAAAATTCATGCATTTATTAAAAATATATTATAAGTAAATAATAGATAAGATATAGATTTTTGAATAACTTTATATAGTCATATTTAACTATATATTATTCTGATATTGCATGTCTGAAAACTATTCTGAAAAATAGATAACGTTTTGTTATAACAAGATTTAAATATAATATTTTTGTATTATTTTCTTGAATAAATAATAAAGACAAAATATACATATTTAATTGTTTAAAGAGTAACTTATATAAAATATAATCTCACTCACCCAAAATTAAAGTTATACACAAAAAGATAATTATATAATTAAGAAATATGTACAGTTTAAGAATAATTTATTACTTTTTAATTAACAATTGATTTATACACAGATGTATACTTAAAAATAAATATAGAT